GTTTTGCACATTTGCTTGCATCCGTTTATCTTTAGATGAAGGCAAAAGGGTTGTAATGCGAGTGAAGCTGACGCCTGATGGACCAATGGATCTCACAGACCCTGCCATCAGGATGAAGATGTTGTCTAAGGTACAAAACATTTAGCTTCGGTCATGAACTGAAAAACTAAAAAAACCCAGAAAGTTTCAGAACTAGAGCCAACTCTGGAAATGAACTCTAAAGGTTGGAGTCCATGCATTAGTCGCATGTAGAAATGCAGAATTGTTCTTCTAAATTTTAAAATTGCTTCTGAGATAATCAGGGCTGCAGACTAAATCTAAATTCAGCTCAGTTCTTTGAAAGAAGTGTTGTATTTTCACTTTTGCTCGTGGAACAGGATCACAAGTTAATCAGTTAAGTGTTGGTCTTTGGTTTTGTCGGAAAATTCCAACTTTTTACCCATTTTGAATATGTGTTTACAACTTTCAGCAACATATTTGTTCTTCAGAAATGTGTAACTGACATCTATGCTACTTTATATTAATTCTATGCTTTGTAGGCTATGGTTTGACTGTTTTTGCTGGCCACCATTCAGTTTCTTATCCAACCGCTTCCACTTGAGCTGACATTATGAATATTCAAAGCTGCTGTTGGCCAATCAGAGCAGTGAATGGCTCATGCTGAAGATTCAATCAAGGTGTTGCTGAAACCAACCATTTTTGAATGTGGTTCATGATATTGTAACTTATTTTACGGATGATTTTTAGATATTTACATTTGTGAGCAGTTTATGACTCCTTTAATATTATGAATTCATTTCAAAGTATTTCCTTGTCCTGTTTCTTTTTCCAGATCAATGAAAAATTAAACAACATTGGTCTCGGTGATGCTGTGAAAGTACGATGGCTAACGATAAAAGAACACAATGTGAAACAAATAAGTAACAGTAACACCTGTGTATGAGATGGAAACTGTGATTTTTGGGGGTCTTATTTTAGAATTATTTTTCAAATATCTATCGCAACATCATTGAAAAATGTCTTTATTTTCAACTCATCGCTAATTGTTTTGTATAGTATAAAGATATTTTAAGAGGCTGTTATTTTAATATTACCCATTTTAGACAAATCCAATGACATTTTAGCAGCGTTTATGTTTTTAGAAGTTTTTAAATGTTTTATGGAAATTTAGACTCTATAGAACACGTGATAGAACTTGTTTAGTCTAATTATAAATCACACAATAAAACTTCTACTCCAAGCAGAAGATGGTGTCATCACACAAATAATTATGCCACTTGACATCATCATTATTACCAAAGATTTCAGAACCACTTGAATTTAATTCATACAAGTTAATATTAAATAATAGTGTCACATAAATGCACTGAAGAGTTTTTCTCAAGATTAGAATCTATTCTAAAAATAAGTTGCAGTGTTCCATTATTGGCACTAGAGAGCAGCAGAACCCAAATGTCAGATGTGTATTTTTTTTTTTTAATCTCTGTGCTGAATTATCTGTTTAAAATGACCTAAAACCTTCAAATATCAAAGTCTATTCATAAACGTAAAAATATTTGTATCACTTTGCTGTAAACATTTTTGGGATTTTTTTCTCATGAACGATGGAAACTTTTAATTTTACCTTTTTGTGAGCATTAATTAAGCAATATTACTGGTTTATATTCATATTTGTTAGACACAGAACAATGTGATTATTGGTTTCTCAACATACTGAGATGATGTTCATAATTTAATTGTAAGTGTTAAAATTAATTAATTTATACAGAATAAAATGAATTAACTGAGCATAAGACGCTAATGCGTCCACATTCTTGCAGAGTTTTACTTGATTAAAACCGAAGTGAGAATTTTAAGTAAAAAAAGTATGCTTATTTAATCAAATGAATACATTCATTCATTCATTCACATTATAGGCTATTATAGCAGCTATTTGTTTTTGTACATTTTTATTATGATGTTTTTTGAGAAAACGTTTCTTTATTACAGATTTTGCGTCTATGTAAGTATATATGTTGTGAAAAGGAACAACTTTCATTTCAGACTTAAGATTTACACAAATTACTGAGTACAGTAACAATATTCAAGCACTTTGAAACAATAGCTGCAATAATCCTGATAACAGTCATGGTTTTTAAGTGAAAGCTACACAAGAAAATGAGCACTTTTCCTCAAAACGAAAGGATGTCGTATTAGATGAACTAAATACATTTTTGTTGTTTGTGAAGTCGAGATGTTATTCCATGCTATTTACAAACCCATCAGCTGTCGACCTGAGCGAAAATACTTGTGCATGTGACGCACTTAACATGACGTTCTGAGAGGGAAAAACAAACCCGGCCCACCATCTGCGTCAAGCCAAACTGTGTGTGCTTTCCAGCTTTTTCAACGGATGTGAGAATCTGAATCGCCCACCTCATCCATTAAAGCACTCTAGAGTCTGTTTGCTTTCAGATCACTTCAAACTGACAATAAAAAGTTTTATGCGCTATCAAAGTTCCACTCTACAAAGTATGTTAAACATGCTTTCACTGTACCTCACACACCAATTAATGGAATAAGACCAGGTCAGATTATTGCAGGATCTAAAATTCCAAATACATATATTAAATATGAGTGAAATTGATTGCTTTGTTACTGGTTATTGGTAGACGATCAGTTCAAGTGGTTTTCAAATTTAATCAGGAACATTGTTCTAAACATTGATTTGATACATTTGAATTATTCAAGAACTTCCATTTGTGGCTTATTATGGCCCTGGTTTGGAACAAAAATGTTAGTAAATAGCTATATCCATGTTTTTAAAGATACAGTATTCTTTTGGGAGTTGATGAGGGGGAAAGTACCAACTCTTTTGACACTCTGGGCGACAATACTGCTCTGGTGAATGGAAAATAATCTTTACCATTTGTTGTTTGGATCTGTCCTGGTTTAGATATTATCTTGAGGAGCTCTCATAGTAGAACGGGGTACACATTCATCTTTTCCCAGTTTACTTAAACGTGGAGTACCCCAAGGTTAAATTTTAGGCCCACTGCTATTTAATTCTAGGAAATTTTTTGTGTGTGAAAAATATCTATTTAGAAATTGTTTTACCAGTTGCATATAATGCTAAAACTACTAGTGGGGTCAACACAAACCTGTAATCTCTAGACTCCAATTTGTACAGAATGCTGTATAATTTACTGGGACAAATAAATATGAGCATATTACCCCAATGTTGCCCACCTTTGTTTTTCAGGGTCCCATTAATTGTGTAGTTGATAGGGCATTACATGGGAAATCCCCTGGGTATACTACTCAACTACCCCAAGTCCACCTTGATTCGCCAATACCGCAACATTAAATTCAAGCCAAGGGTTTGGTATTGACACATATTAATGTTTATAATGCATCTATGTATGTATCTATATATATATTTAAGTCTATGTGGTTGTATATATGTCCTTAGTGGAAATCATGCCTCAGGGAATAGGCACCATTAGACCATTTGACCCTAACAAATGAATACCTGGCTATACAAGATGATGCATAAATGCATCTAAGTAGGAGTGTTTGGTGGAGCGTGAGCAGTTGAGTGTGTTTGCACAATGGAGGTGAGAAGACATGCACGTGGGTGAGGCGTGATGCATATCCACCAGGAAGATCTTTATTTGGACACTCATGACTTTATATGAGCATGTTTAAAGGGAACTCTCCAGCTGCATTGGCCCAGATCTATGATCCACCTGCTAATAGCATTCATCGCTAGAATGCACTGCATAGATTTGGATTAATCACTTTTTTAACACCCAGGTTTGCTTGTTTATTTTAAATCCTGAGTTAGAGCAATAGAACCTTTTTGTCACTTGTGGAGAGCAATATAGACGTGTGTGTGTGTGTGTGTGATAAATGGTGGAACTTTTTCCCATGCTAATCCACCATGAAAAACCCCTGAAGTTCAGCAGGTTGAGCCAATTATGTTTCATTACCACGAAACGAGCTAGAGTTGGAACATCTAAGCTACTTACTGATCTAGTCGCCATGACAACAAGAACACTACAAAACCTTCAGTAACTTGCAAGTACATGAATCCCATTAAACCTACTTTTCTGCAATATTTCAATGAATATGTATTAGGATGGTTACAGAGCGTGGATTAAGTGAACAGCAGGAATCGAATGTCCTTTTTTCTTCACATTACATAATCAAAAACCTGCTCAAAATATGGCGATTGTGTGCCAAGCAATTTTTATTTTACTCTTTGCACGTCCACTCATGAAGGTGCTATACAGACCTCTGCATATAAGCCATGAGCAAACCCACACTAGTTCTATCCTTAAGGATTCACGTCATGGAGAGAGGTGTGCATTTACAGGTAAATCTTGTTTAACCTCTCCCCTCCAGTCCACTTTCCTCAATGAAATTAGTTTTCTGCATCTGTAGGAGGATTAGCTTATACATTTCTGAACCCTTGCGTCAGTTTAATAATATGTTGCTGATAAAATCTTCAAGATGCTGCTAACAATAGTCATGATGTAAAGGAAAGAATTAAAAAATCTGGTATTAAGTTACTCAACTCAAAACTAAAGCTACAAAGTGTTGAAAACTGGGAAGTGAATTAATTATGTGCTCAAATCTTTACTCAGACTTAATATTGACTTGTTTAAAAAAATAGTTTAATTTAGTCTTCAACCCCATGCTGATTCTGAACATTTGCCTGCAGATTAACAAATTAGCAATCAATAAATATAATTATGGATTTATTTCGACTGCAAGAAACCAAATAACAGCTAAAGCATTCCGATAGATGTATTTGAAAAATAAAAGTATTAACTTTGTTGTGTCTCATTTTAGAACAAATCTCTTCGGCTCACAGTTGTTTTTTCTATAAGTTACTAATTGAGATTAGGAGCCTCTCTAAAGAGGAGTATCATTCATGTATAAAAGACAATTACAAGTGCTAGCTAGTCACATAAATAGAATATTGTCAAAAAGTTCTTTTTAAGTTCCAAAAAGTTGCTTTCCTTAGCAAAGTTGGTAGAGCACTGAGCTAAAAACGCAAAGGTTCTGGGTTCAAATCCCAGGGAAAACAGGAACTGACAAAAAACTGTTCATTCATTCAAATGTAATTTGCTTTGGATAAAAGTGTCTGCCAAATACATAATGTAATTAAAAGTTTTTTTTCTTCAGTGATTCCATTCAAAAGGTGAGAGTTATAATGTATACATTCATTCCACACAGATTGATATGATTCAAGTGTTTATTTCTATTCATTTTGAAGATTATAGCAGAAACCTAACAAAAATTCCAATTCAGCATGCCATAAAATGATAATATTGTGAAAAAGTTCTATATTGAAGACAACTTGCTTCAAACTCTCCTTCTGGGAAAGATATAGCAACCCGACTCAGACCAGTTTAGATGTTTAAGAGGAGATTGGATTTTTTTTTCAGAATCAAAAGACAAATAACAATAGTGTGCGTTGTCATGGCAACATAATAATAACTGAACATTTTTAGTTTTCAAATTTAATTTTTTTCATCTGTATATTTTCAGGTTCAGTGTTTATGTTAATTTTTTATTTTAAAATCACCAATAAAGTGCATTGCATTTTAAAATCAGGATATTTTCATGAACAGCAATTATTTTCTCTGACCCCATGGTTTCTATCGCAGCTATTTCCGATCCAAAATTTACTTATACTGAGAATATACACATATATATTAGGAGATTTTGTTTATGATTGTTAATTATTTCACAGGCGGTACGAAAAAGTTTAACCGTGGTCTTAAAGGACAGCGAATGTTGATACAAAGCTCTATGATGCTGCTGCTGCTACTGCACACACACACACACCACCCAGAATACTTTTCCCCTTATAAAGCATTTGGCTTATGTATGGCATAAGAGGTCCTGCTGAGTGTCCGGTTTAAGCCAAACTGAACTCCAGTGAGAGGAAAAAGAGAAAGGAAGGGTGCAACCCAGGAAGCTCAAAGGAAGGGATGGTGTTTATAGACAGCACGCTTTCTCTGGGCATCCAGCCAGAGCTCTTTCCGACCAGCTCATGTCTGCCGCTGGGGTATTTATGTGTCTGGGGTGATGTAATGCTCATGACAGGATCCAAAATGGCAACTCCCCTCTCTCCTTCTAGGATGACATAGCGGACTGTGGAAAAATCCAGGTGATGATGCCAGGAAATGTTTGCCAGAGTACATGATGTGCTATCTGCAAACAAATGGAAGGTGTTTCTGGTTTTCGATAAGACTCTAGCACAAACTCGTATTTACAGATCACACTCTCCTAATAGAACATTTGTGCTTCAGCTGCATATGTGATTATTCAAATCTCTCAGCCAATCAGAGCATTTCCATCCTTGCACTTTTCCATTTGCATAAAAATGTTAATATATTTATTTTGCTATGTGTTTAAGTCTGTCTTTAGCACCCTACTTATGTTAACTTGTAAAAGCTCACTTATTTTTATTCAACACATCAGAGAAATGTGGATTTGATTTGATTATGTTTTAGTAATTTACCTCAAATTTTTTATGACATCCCAAGCAACCAAACTGCTTACCCCAGCAACCAAATTTGAGAATTTACCAAATCTCAGCTTTGCTAAATGATAAGAGACATCAGGGTTAGTTTATATAACTTATATTGACAAAGGCAATAATATATTGTCACTGACCTCTCCATAGCAACCAAAATGTTTACCATAGCAACCAAATTGTTTTAATTCCACCTCAGCTTTGGTAAACGATAAAGACACAGGAGTTGGTTTATACAACTTAAAGTGATAAAGGCAACATTATATTGTCACTGACCCCTTCATAGCAACCAAACGTTTTACCCTAGCAACCAAATTTTCTGAAGTCTCTCTCTGAGCTTTGGTAAATGGTAGAGACACGGGTGTTGATTTATATAACTTGAAGTGACAAGGCAACATTAAATTATGTCACTGACTCCTACATAGCAACCAAACATTTTACCCTAGCAACCATATTTTCTGAACTCTATCTCAGCTTTGGTAAATGATAGAGACATGGGGTTAGTTTATTTAACAGATAGTGACAAGGCAACATTATAGTATGTCACTGGGCCCCTTCATAGCAACCAGGCTGTTTACCATAGCAACCTTGGGAAAATTATTGATTACCCATTGTGATATTGGCATTAAAGCTCATTCTGATTAAAATGATAAGAGCATGTCAAATCACTTTTGACTCTAACAAACTTCAATTTATGCATGTCTCCAAAACTGTGCTAATTCCATATACACTGATCCACATTTTCAACCAAATGGGTTGAAACAACATTTTCAACCTACGCAAAGCAACGAGTGTACTCATGGCTAAAACCCTCTCCAGCGATGCGTCATTGCCAGCATTGTTTTTGTCCTCTGCTGTTTTCATGTGCGTCACCATTGGCTAACAAATGTAAAAATTTAGGATGACCCCACTTCATTCACTGATTCACAGCCATTTCATGTGTGTAGTGCTTCCACTGGGATTGAAAATAAACCTCCCACATGCCGCAGTAGCTCAACACTTATCAGCGAGTTTTAATTGCAGATTTCACATTTTAGTGATGAGGTTTTACTCAATGAGCACTTTTCAATGGAACGCCTTCTACATGTTTATTTTGCTTCCGTCAATTTTAGCACCATTTATCCTCTCATCAAATGTTAGAAAAGACATATATTCAAAGGAAGTGACGCTACATTATTTTATTTCATATTTTTACACATAATGTTTAGATCAAAGTTGGTGAAGCATGTCAATTTAATCCAATGTCGGTAAGCAAAGAATGAGAATCAAATATACAATCTGAAAATTGTTCATATTGTGTAACTTTTCAACCCATTTGCAACTTAACATTCTATTTACTCTGACCTGCTCAACCAAAACCCCAAAACAAAGCAGCTTAACGGAAGAGAATTATAAAAAATACTTCTCCATAACACAACAAAAGATCTTGTCCCATCATACGCCTTAGTGGTCTTGGCTCACGGTTGTCAGATACAAGCATTCTTGAGAAAGCCAGAAAGATTTCCAGCACCCCTGTAAGTTTTGCACTTTACACAAGGACAAGACAACACAAGGGTTAACCCTGTTTGTGCATGCCCTAAAGAAAACTAACTATTCGGGTTTGAATGGTCTAATCTTGTTCGTTTGATGAAACATAAATAACAGTGGCTTTGTTTTCAGTTTATTATTGTTGCAGATTGGGCCGTATTATCTTTCGTACACAGCAGAAAGTTTTCTGAAGATTAAAGTACACAATTTGGCTCAATACTCACCGGAAACACATACAGAGAGAATGTTTGTAGCTCTGGCAGTTCTTAGAAATGATCTGTAGTGATTTGACGGCCAATCCGTATTGGAAGACATGGACGCCATCTGTGCCATCTGCTGTTTGTGAAGACCCGTGAACTGTATGTGAGTGGAGATGAGAGGCAGTGATGGCAGAAATCTGGTTCATCCTCTTTAAAAAAGTTTTATCACTTGGAATAAGTTGCAATTGGTTAAATTGGGATTCAGTACTTCACTGGAAAAACACACTCACTATCAGACTAAGGTCTGTAAGATGAAACAGCTGTTTGCCCAACACACATGCTATTCAAGAAAGTCAGATTTGATTGGTACCTGTGCTTTTTTTTTAAGAAAATGGATGCACAAAAAGATTAAATAATATATGTGTTATTGGTAAAAATCCAATAGGATGAAATAGATTTGGACTGGTGGCAGATTTAAAGAGGAAATAGTGACTTGTGTTGCAACAGATGGGAAGAGAGAGAGAGAGAAAGAGACAGAGAGACCCACTCAGATTGGCTCATTACAGTGTGCACTTGGAAACTGTTACAGTCAGCAAGGTCCTTGAAACATCATTATGTCCTTTTGCAGTAATCAAAATATGACTGTGCATAAATGAGTGTGATTAATTCAATGAAGATTCAAACAAACATTTGGTCATTTACAGAACCAAAGGCTGCAGTTTGATAATGTATTAGAGAATCTGCATCCAATCCATGTATTTGAAATGCAAAGCATCATAATAATTGGTGTAAATTCTGCCAACATTGGGATTTAGAGCCGCAGAAATGCATTCCCTGTCTCCAACATTTAAAAATATTACTTAAAAGTCTCTCAGAAAAAAGATACCCACCTCTATCTTAAAAAAGTACCTTCACACCAAGGTTGTGACAGAGGAATTTTAATTGGAGAGTTCTGATTAGATTACTGATTCAGTGAGGTGATTGGATTCATGCAAGTGTCTCTTCTGGGGACATTGAATCGCTGACGATGGCATTTTTTTTTTTTTTTGAGGCTGAAAAATGTAATATACACTCACAGCCCAGTGACCCTGAACAGGAAATTCGGATGGATGTATGATATCAGTTTTTTTGGCAGCTAAGAAGAGTATTTTATCAATGCCTTGTTATCCAGTTATTAACTTATTTAATTGCTAATACCTATTCACTTATAGGTGTATAGTTGTCTGTATATTCAAGTATGTATTTATAACATAGCCAACATATTCCATATATTGTTAAAGCCTATACAAATGTGTACATATAATACTTCAGAAGACATTAGTATAACTTTGAAATATCCATGTTCTTATGTTTTGCCCCTCGCTTTTGGAAATAATCCCCAAACCAAATGGATACATATCAATGTTTTATGTGTCTGTACCTATTAAATAACTCTCGAGCAATCCTGCACGTCCATCCCTGTTCTTCTAATAGCATCACATGCAGTGTTTCGCCCATACAGGACTGCACACACACTTGTATAACCGTTTGTATAACTACAACGTACTAGTCTTCCCCGGACCAACCACACTCTTTTCCCTCATCTGCGTCCCATTCAGGAGAATTCTCTCACTACTGATTTGCCCATACGCAGCGCACGCCGTCACTGGCCATGGGTTTCCACGTGAGACGTATGACACACTTATGTAAAGAGACTGGCAGCCATTTCAACCAATCACAGAGCCCTTTTGACATTTCCGCATTCATGTTACGCAAACCAGATGCTCTCAACCAATGGGCGCTCGCGGTGGGAGGAGTTTGAATTCAGGTCATGCT